TGCAGATCTACATCTTCACACCCTCACATCTGCAGATCTAGATCTTCACACCCTCACATCTGCTGATCTACATCTTCACACCCTCACATCTGCAGATCTACATCTTCACACCTTCACATCTGCAGATCTAGGTCTTCACACCCTCACATCTGCTGATCTACATCTTCACACCCTCACATCTGCAGATCTACATCTTCACACCTTCACATCTGCACATCTCCTCTCGCTCTTCTTTCTATCTCTCTCTTAAGGCGGGGGCGGTGCCGCCGGAGCGCCACGAAACACAACCCTTTCGCACGAAATGGACGTTGGACGTCAAAAACTGAGGAAAAATTGCGATTGAACTTAGTCAAATGCAACCCTTTCGCACGAAATGGACGTTGGACGTCAAAAACTGAGGAAAAATTGCGATTGAACTTAGTCAAATGCAACCCTTTCGCACGAAATGGACGTTGGACGTCAAAAACTGAGGAAAAATTGCGACTTAACTTAGTCAAATGCAAAAACTGAGAAAAAAAATGCGACTTAACTTAGTCAAATGCAACCCCTTCGCACGAAATGGATGTTGGACGTCAAAAACTCAGGTAAAATTGCGATTTTGAGGTGTCACGGGCAACCCTTTCGCACGAAATGGACGTTGGACGTCAAAAACTGAGGAAAAATTGCGATTTTACTTTGTTCATCGTGACCCTTTTGCGCGAAATGGACGTTGAACGTCAAAAACTGCAGTAAAATTGCGATTTCACGGGTCCGGCCTTTGTGTGTGAAAGTGTTTGTGTGTAAAAGCTTCTGTGTGTAAAAGTTTCTGTGTGTAAAAGCTTCTGTGTGTAAAAGGGTCTGTATGTAAAAGCGTCTATGTGCAAAAGCGTCTGTGTGTAAAGGAGTCTGCGTGTAAAAGCCTCTGTGTGTAAAAGCTTCCGTGCGTAAAAGCTTCTGTGTGTAAAAGCTTCTGTGTGTAAAAGCTTCTGTGTGTGAAAGCGTCTGTGTGTAAAAGCTTCTGTGTGTAAAAGCTTCTGTGTGTAAAAGCGTCTGTGTGTAAAAGCGTCTGTGTGTAAAAGGGTCTGTATGTAAAAGCTTCTGTGTTTAAAAGCCTCTGTGTAAAAGCAGTGTAAAATGGTCTGTGTGTAAAGGTGTCTGTGTGTAAAAGCTTCTGTGTGTAAAAGCTTCTGTGTGTAAAAGCGTCTGTGTGTAAAAGCTTCTGTCTGTGAAAGTGACTGTGTGTAAAAGCTTCTGTGTTTAAAAGCTTCTGCGTGTAAAAGTGACTGTGTGTAAAAAGCGTCTGTGTGTAAAGGCGTCTGTGTGTAAAAGGGTCTGTGTGTAAGCACTTCTGTGTTTAGTAAGAGCGTTTGTGTGTAAAATGGTCTGTGTGTAAAAGGGTCTGTGTGTAAAAGCTTCTGTGTTTAGTAAAAGCGTTTGTGTGTAAAATGGTCTGTGTGTAAAGGTGTCTGTGTGTAAAAGCTCCTGTGTGTAAAAGCTTCTGTGTGCAGAAGCGTTTGTGTGTAAAAGCTTCTGTGTGTAAAAGCTTCTGTGTGTAAAAGCGTTTGTGCGTAAAAGCTTCTGTGTGTAAAAGCGTCTGTGTGTAAAAGCTTCTGTCTGTGAAAGTGACTGTGTGTAAAAGCTTCTGTGTTTAAAAGCTTCTGCGTGTAAAAGTGACTGTGTGTAAAAAGCGTCTGTGTGTAAAAGTGTCTGTGTGTAAAAGCGTTTGTGTGTAAAATGGTCTGTGTGTAAAGGTGTCTGTGTTCTGTCTCTGTGGAGATGGTGTTGCATTCATTCTTTGGAGATTGTGTTTTCAGATTGTTCCAATTCAAGCATGGAGTTTTACCGCACAAGTCTGTGCGAGCGGCATTCAACTGGATTTTCTACAAAAGAATCGTTTGGTTGGAGCCTCAAGTGAATGCAGAGATGCCTTGAAAATAATAGTCGAGACATCTCTTTTCTGTGGATATGGTCTTGCATTGATTCTTTGGAGATTGTGACTGCAAGGATTGACTTGTGTTTAGCATGATAATACAGAACTGTTGGACATCGGCTGAGGATGGATGATTGATAGCACCCGCGCTAGCAATGTGTGGAGCTCGGTTGCTTTAGTTGCAGTGAGGGTGATGATGGCAGTCACGATGTACATTTTTGGAACTTTGTTTGTGTTGCGGCCTTTGTTCTTGGTGGACAACATGGAAATGACAGAGATTGACAGTGAACATGCTTGCTAGTGAACATTATCTGCATGCAAAATGTTTGGTTCAAGTGGCGCACCCGTGACACTTGTGAAAGTATTGTGGTCACTGTTTCGTTTGCTGAATGGATTGTCCGTGCAAATGGAGCAGGCGACCGCGTCTTCCAATGCCGTGGAAATTCGGTTGCAGGAGCTGCGTAGCAATGCTGTGACCAGGGGCCGTGAATGGCTCCAGGGTGCCCTGGAAGAAATTTCCGCAATGTTGCTTCGCAAAATGGCAAGTGCTCGGAATGTTGGCCGTGGACCGGACAAGAAGTGGCTCGCGGTTGGAGAGCTGCGCGCTGGATTGTTGGAAGTCTTGGCACCTCCAACGCAGGTCGGGTGCGGCGGAAAAATGTTATGAGGAAAGTTGAATGTTTGTTACATGGTTCAATGTTGTCGGATGAGTGCTGTTTTGTGGTTGCGGTGTGTTGCATGCTGTTGGCCTGTAGGAAGTTGCACGGGCTGCCAAATTGGAAGAACTTCGCGTAGAAACTGTTTCACATGGTGTGGAATGGCTCCGTCGTGCTCTGTCGGAGATATCAAAAGATGAGATTCGCGCCCTGGCTGCTGCGGGTGGTGTGGAGACACGACCCGGCAACAAATGGCTCACTGTAGAACAGCTGCGTGACGCGTTGGTGAAAGTCTTGGCGCCAGCAAGGGAGGTTGGGTGCGTCAAAAATGGGTTTTAATCAAATTTGTATTTTTGCTAGAAGTTGAATGTTCGTCACATGGTGCAGTCTTGTAGGATGGGTGTTTTTTTTGTGTGGTGGCACTGTGTTGGATGCTGTAGGTGGATGATCGATGGGCTGCCAAATTGGAAGAACTTCGCGAAGGAGCTGTTTCACAAGGTGTTGAGTGGCTCCGTAGTGCTCTGTCGCAAATATTAAGCGGTGAGCTTCGCGCCCTGGCTGCTGCGGGTGGTGTGGAGACACGACCCGGCAGCAATTGGCTCACTGTAGCAAAGCTGCGCGACGCGTTGGTGAAAGTCTTGGCGCCATCAAGGGAGGTTGGGTGCGTCAAAAATGGGTTTTAATCAAATTTGTATTTTTGATGGAAGTTGAATGTTCGTCACATGGTGCAAGCTTGTAGGATGGTTTTTTTTTGTCGTGGCACTGTGTTTGATGCTGTAGGTGGATGATCGATGGGCTGCCAAATTGGAAGAACTTCGCGTAGGAGCTGTTTCACATAGTGTGGAATGGCTTCATGGTGCTCTGTCGCAAATATTAAGCGGTGAGCTTCGCGCCCTGGCTGCTGCGGGCGGTGTGGAGACACGACCCGACAACAAATGGCTCACTGTAGCACAGCTGCGCGACGCGTTGATGAAAGTCTTGGCGCCATCAACGGAGGTTGGGTGCGTCAAAAATGGGTTTTAATCAAATTTGCATTTTTGTGGTCAAAGTTGAATGTTTGTCACACGGTGCGATTTTGTAGGGTGGGCGTGTTTTTTTGTGGTGGTGGCACTGTGTTGGATGCTGTAGGTGGATGATGGGGAAGTTGCATTGGCTGCCAAATTTGAAGAACTTCATTTAGAAGCTGTCTCACATGGTGTGGAATGGCTCCGCCGTGCACTGTCTGACATGTTAAGCAGTGAGCTTCGCGCCCTGGCTGCTGTGGGTGGTGTGGAGACACGACCCGACAACAAATGGCTCACTG